GGCCACTCCAATCCACCCATGTAAGTAAAAATGTTATTTGTAAGTGAGCAGCTGAATACAAATGTTGTCTGCTTACATAGAAGTAAAAAATAGCAGGCTGATGTGTATGAGAGACTTTGCATTGTTTCTAGTAAAATAGACTATGCATTGAAATATTTTCCTTGTCCCTAGGGTGAGTCCAGATCTTCAGCTGGGGTAAATCCATGCAATTTTATTTTCTAGCAATTACACTTTTTTTTACCTCCTCTGAAGATCTGATTGCGCTGTGGTTGCGGGGGATCACGGCCAGTTTCCTGTGTAACACTGTGGAAGGCTGAACCGTTTTTGGACAGTACCAGCTCTACCAAACAGTTGCTACACCGAGGAGTTTTGCAGGGTGGACCTGGAGAAATAGGAATATGCAGTGATGACCCACAATTACCAGGAAAAAAACCATAAGCAGTTCTCAAATAAGATAATTAGTTGGGAACTGGAGGAGTTACAGCAGAAATCCCTGTTTTTGTGATATAATAGGCTTACCCTCTACTGTTCAAGTGTCCCAAAGTAATAAGATCAACCTCATAGTTGAGGAATCCTTGGGTGAAGGAGACTTTCATAGTCCTTTCCTGCACTGGTCCCAAGGGCGTGAACAAGGAGCATGAATGGGGCACCCTAGAAATTACTGGGTCACCCAGTGCCACTGGTATCTGGTGAATGCTACCACAGCGTAAGGGTCCCATATGACTGCATGTGTAGCCAGCTGAACAAGGGTTTGCAAACGGGATTGGAAGAAAACCCAGAATGACTGGTTGTCCCCCGTGTACCTTCTTCGTGCCTGCGCTTCACTGCCAGTGCTCGTACGCCACAAGCGAGAGCTGCCCCGGAGTGTGCAACTTGTTAGCCTGCTTTTGAAGAATAATAGACAATGGGATTCAGCATGATGGAACAGGAAACTCCTATCAGAGGCTAATAAATGTTTCCTTGTAAAATGGGGAGATGCTTATGTGAGTCCAGATATAAAGTGAAAGTGAGACAGCCCCCAGAGGAATTACTGAGGTAATAAATGTACTTACTAGGGCAGTGTGTGCCAGAGCGAGACAGAAATGGGCTAAGACCAGAAGAAAATTAGAACCTCAAATTCAAGCTGAAGCTCAGTGGTCAGATGAAATTCAACCCTTTCCTCTGAGAAAAGAGTATCTGCTGGTGACTGACTGACTTGATTATCTGCGATCAGCATGGCCAATGAAAAGAACAACAGTGTATGATTTCTGCCATCTGTCCTGTTTTAAGAAGTAAGACATGAACGTAGAATATGGTAACCAGCTGAAGGAGGATTTGGCTCTCTAGACATACACAATTTTATGTACAGGTGGTGCTGTTACAACTACACCATTACAATGGGTCAGGGTCTTTGGTGTCAGATTATTGCGGCATGCGGCTCAACGTCGCAAGGTGGCCAAGATCCTTTGAGACTGGCTACGGGATATGTGGTTTGGCCCAGCACTATGCTCCTCTGCATGTACTCATGTATTTTTTATCTTGTTCAGAATAGAGTCATCTAAATTGCGAGAGGTGAGGGCACACACTTATTCACAGTGAAATCAACATGAAATCAGAGGTGAATGATCTATAGTAGACGTTTCTGAAGCTCAAATATAACTAGGAAAATTGCTCTGAAAAACTTGTGGCTATATATTTGTTGTCTCTTTATCAAGGTTTGTATTTTCACTGGTTCACTAAAGCAAAGTATATAAAAGCAGGAGTTCCGTACTGCATTGTTTAACTGAAGAAAGTAAAATAAATCCTGATCTTTTAAAAAAAAAATTAAAATATTTTTTTCCCCTCTGAGCAGCATCTTATAATTGAGATCCACCTTGAACATGCCAAGGTCAGAATTCAAGACACAGAATATGCTCATCAAGCTGCCCAACAAGATACCTTTATTCAGCCAAATTGGAAAACTTGTGTGTAACTCAAAAGATCAGAATAGAGTCCTTACTGAGCAAGGTTAGGAGGGATAGAAACAATCGGCTTATATAGAGTATTTTTACTTCATAGGAATGTGGTTCAGATTGCTGAAAATGTATCCTTTGCATGAAGTACAAGCATAATCCTATGCCTACTTTGCCCTTTGAGTAAAAGTATGCTTAATAGCAATTTCAGGGGGGAAAAAAAAAAATCTACTTAAAGCCTGTTGAGCAGAATATCCACTTATAGAGGGAAACTATAAGTGAATAATGTTAATGGAGTTCTGTTTTGTAAAACGCATAGAACAACTAATAGAATCAAGCTACTATAACAGTGGATGATTGAATTACATTTAAGAGAGTACCTAATTTATGACCTTTAAAAATAGTTTTAGAGCTGTCTGCTTGATAGGTTTTGTAAATCCTAGACCTCCTTCATACAAAAGTTTTTTAGGAATCTCATCTCTCACTTTATATTATGGTCAGAGGACCTTTTGTGCTATTGTACGTCAGTAGTTCCATTAAAATATTTAAGTAGGCTAATTACTGAAAGAAAAAAACTGCTCTCTAGAGAAAATTATTATACCTGTTTATTAGCGTGGGAGAAGTTCTTAATCTGGGAGTAAATTTTGAACAATAGCGATGAACAATGACCAGACCCAGGACCTCTTCAGAAAAAGGAATTAAGCCCTATAAATATCAATTATTGAGTGGTTTTCCTCAAAACAGTAGTTTTTTAAAAAGTAGGAGTTTGTGCGTAACTTCCACCAATAACTGGCATACTATGTACAGGAACATGAAGTTTTATACTCCCATCACTTTTTTCCTCCCATTTAATTTTACTGTATCTGTTTGTTTTATTGCTGTGAAACTGATTCAGTGTTATCTTGTGCAAAGGAAACCCCCAAATTTACTGCACACTTTATAAAAACTGTTTGTATTTTTATCAGTTTTAAAGAGGTTGCTCTTGCAGACATTTGACGCTGATTTTGTGTCATAGTATTCAGGAAAGTAAAGAGAATTTGAGAGCCCTTCCGTGTATCATTGGGTTTTATATAGAGATTCCGTGTAGGAATACCCTTCTAAAACTCTGAAGTTTTACATCATTCCTTAAAACATCGTACAATTTTGTTAGCTTTTGTGCCAGAGGGTTGTGCCTGCTGTGGTGTCATTCATTGCTCATCTTAAAAGAAGGCAGAGAACAAAGGTGGAATAAGCTGCTAATCTTCTGGATCAGCCAGACGTTATTATTCAGTCGTATATGGGAATTTAAGGCACCGATCCTTAAGGGCGAGAGGTGCAGGAGAGGGGCTGCGAGGCTGCCAGAAGCAGTCACTTCCTTGTAGCATCCCGGTTGCCAGAGCGCTGGTGCGTCATGCTGTCTTAAATGTGGCTTTTGCCTGCTGGGTGCAATGGAGCTCTCTGTGGAGCATCGCATTTCCAGAGAGCTACAAATGGAATTGGCTAGTTTAAGAATGCGATCATTCGATTTATTTTTTTTGAAGATCAATTTAGCAAGAAAGACCCTAGTACTTTATAGGTCTTGCTTGTTCTCTACGAAAGCGCTGTGCCGTAGCTCTGCCCAAGTTCCTGTTGAGGTAACCTCAAAATTATTACTGCTGCAGAATCGGAGCCAAAAGAGCTGGACTGCATGTGTACAGCTAAGGAACAGACCAGAAAAAGGCAGTGAGATTTCTGTGGTCAATCATACTTACGGTTCTGTACTTTATAACATAAAGTAAAAAATGTATTGTTTTACAGAGAAGCTCCATTATAGGTCAGCCCTTGTCTTAACCAGCCCCTTGACAGTGGCCCCACTTGACTCCCAATACAATTTACTCTGACCGTTAGTTAAGGACTGTTTCTGCTATGTCTGTGGTGTTCGCAGCTCCATATGGTGGTTGCTTAAGGCTGGTCTAGAAGTAAACAAGAAATACAAGGTTTCAGTCACACAAAGGTATGGGGCTCAGTCTATAAAACTAAAGAAGGAATTAAACATAGGGAGATGCTCTGTATTTATTTTACACCAAATTATGCCAGGAATCGGAGATTAGGTCTCCTCTTTTTGTCATTCTTATTGGTTCATTATCATACCTTTTCCAAAGTAAAACTATTTTTTTTTTTTTGTGATTTTATTGCTGCTTTTGTGAAAATGAAATTACTGCACTATCCTGTATGTTCAGTACTTGCAGCAAGGAGGGATTCTGGCTTTGCCCCAAACTGCTTACAGTCTGGATACTTTCACAGTGAACATCTCTGGAGCAGCGAGGAACGTTTTTGTGAGGATGAGAGAGAATGTCAGGCTGAAGCACCATAAATAACTTAGAGCCCTCAGATAATTGTCCTGTGAAAGTTCCCAGTGCTTCCAGTTTCTTCCTACCCACCCCTATTTTCAGCTATCAGATACAGAATCTTGACTTAATATTGTTAATTGCATAGTAAACAGAACAATATTGTTTGCCCCAAGACAGATTACCATTTCTCATTATAGAATTCTCATAGACCACAAATCATTGATACCATCTCCACCAGTTATAATAAAGTTTATCTTCAATCTGATAAAAAGCATGTACTGAATAATAACTGTTGCTCTTATTGTAAGCGTAATGTAAAAACATGCTTTTTTAAAAGCTGCGTAGTTCAATGAAGTTACAATTCTGCATTTGCCCTAGCAAAGAGAGGTGAGAGTTGTGGACGTAAATGGTCAGATTTCCAAGCGCGACTCTGTGGGTACAGCGTGTGCGTTGCACTTGACAGCTGATGAACCTCTTACCACAGTCAACTAAAACAGTCAGTCCCACTTTCCCTGCATTTATCTGTGTTTGTACTTGAACCCGTTGTTCAGTGTGTTACGTATTTGCATCTTTAGCTTATTCACAGAGAATTGAAGTGCATTTAGATGCTGTAAGAAGGTTTATCTCTTCATTTCAAATTGCAGAGATCCTCAGTGGTCTGAAGGTTTCTGCCTCTGTCCCCAAGATGAGTAGTCATACCTGCAACATTGCAAGCACTGACACTACTAAGTCCCGGCTGAAAACTGCCTGAAAAAAAGTTTCATTTTACTTATCTCCCACCACTACTTGCGCACACTCACAGATGAAGAAGAAATAATTCAGTATGACACAAACCACCAAAATCCATAAAGGGAATACCGTGGCAGAAGTATGGATATTGTAATGCTTTTCAACTGTTTTGCACAAAGTGGACATCTTCCAGTAGTGCATTTCCAATCTTCCCTGGTGAATTTAGGTACTCTTTGGGGGGGTTAATCTTTTAGCCCTAAATGTTTTTGTCGTATATATTAAGATGGAAGCATTTGCATCGTTGCATAAGTGTCATTAAGAACAAGATTGGCCCAAATGTTAGCCGTCACAGCTGAAGTTTGCATTTTGCTACCTGTTTCCATTGAGATCAGGCTCAGCCAGCAAGTTCAGCTCTAAATACAAACTTTCTCAAAGCCTGGCTCTGCTCCTGACTCAGGGTAGTGCTACTTTGGTGAGAAGTCCTAAAATTTGGAGCCAGTTTTAAAGTTCAGGGACACTATAAGACAACTGAAAATATTGTGCAGGTCCATCAGGGTTTGGATCGGGGTGTGTGAAGTTGTGACTGAATCAGGTTCTAGTGTAATTCTGTGGGGAAACAAGGATTCAGCAGGATTCTTTCAGAGTTGAACCCCAAACTCATTAAAATATTACAATAAAGTAATTAATGCACATGGCCACTAGACACTCTTAAAATGTAAATTTCACAGCTGTAAGAAATTAGATTTGTTTAAAAATAACAGAAGGCTCAAGTACAAATTATGGAGTAAAAGCCTATAAAATTTCAAACTTGGTTTTAAGGCACAGCCTTTTGGGGTTTTTTTTGGTTTGCGGGGGGGTTTGGTTTTTTTCACTAGATCATTTACTTTAGCACTAGCATTCAGAAACTGAATTCCTTGTCTGTCTTTTGCCTCTGAAGTTGTAGTCAGGCACCAGTGTGGAACTGCTTAGTTGGGAAGTCTTCTTATCAGAAGGTCGGACTTTGAGAACAAGGCAAATTTTGCAACGAGCCTGTCCCCCATCTGAACCCCATCTTGTGTTCAGGAGGTGCCAGGCTTGCAGCTACAGGCACAATATTGTGAAGTTCATTGAATGCCAGTTTGAGTTGTTTGCACAGCTGGGAGGACAGGTAGTTCTCAGCTGACACCCATGTATTAACAGTTGTTGGGACCACTGCTTTTTCACTGTACGTGCATTTTGGCTGGCACAAGCATAACTTGACCAATTTCAGTAGTTCCTAGAAGTCAACGCCCCTAAATCAATCTGTGCCACAGAGGCTAAGAAAATTAAAGCCGCTCCAAAGTTCAGGAGCAATGGAGCCAACTGGATTTTACAAAGGATGTAACGTACATCTTCTCAGTGCAGAGGCCTAATTCCAGATTCTCTGGCTCTCTCACCTGTCGGTGTTTACAAACATGGGCCTGACTATAATGCAAGAAAAGACTTCGACTAACAAATGTCCGGCAGTGTATTTCAATCCGTTTATGTTTGAAACAACACTGAAATATAGGGCTCCACAATGGCTTCTTGGCACACCAGCTTTAGCAGAGTACTGAAATGGTTGAAGGAAGGAATTCCGGTCAGAATATGTTCCAGATGAATCCTGTTGGAGGTCCATTTCTAAATGTATTCTACGTGCCTAACTATTAAAAAGTTCAGATTATGACCCCTCTAATGTTATTTTAATGCTAGTTTTTAAAATGTAATTATAAATCAAATTACATTTGAGATCTGAAGCTGACAGTAGTGAGCTGGAACACTCTAAGAGCTGCTTTAAAAATAACCCCTCTCAAACTTTATTAGTGATTTCAGAAAGAGAAGTGCAAGTGGACTGGCCAGATTCATCCACACTGTTTCTGTCTGAGATAGGACAACTTGCTACGTGTCAGTTGTTTTCTGTTTTACAGAGACATAACACGGGATCTTTCCTCTTTACCTGGAAATTGCATTTCCAAAGTTTGAGTTTCTTTCTTTGAGCTTAAGCAGAAGGCATGAGCTCATTTAAATTTTATTTCTTCCCTTCTTTTCTCATTCTTTACCATAACGAATTTCTCTAAAGATTAAGATTTCTAAACACTGAACAGCAACCAAAAAAACAACTAAGTTGAGAAAAGCAGGCCATGATTTGGCAACTGCAAAATTTTGGGGTGACTCAAGCAATCATAGGAAAGAAATGCACTTAGTGACTGTCGTTGTGTTGGTCAATGGCATCTGCTTACCTGGGTGAAGGTATGTATGTATTTGAAAAAAAGGGCTGGAAAAGAGACCAGAAGGACATAGCTGAGAGTATGTAAGCATTCAGCAGGGTTGAAATGCTGTGTTCAAATAACGTCTATAACGGTTTTGGTAACTTTATATTTCTTTTTCTTTTTTTTTTTTTTTTTTTTTTATTTTAGTAAATGTAAATGTTTGCATTAGATACTCCTGTAACCTGCCTAAAAATGAACCAATCCACAAAGATAGTACATTAGAAACTATAGAATTCAAATTTCCATTTATATAGATGTAGTTTA